GAGAGAGAGAGAGAGAGAGAGGATCTGAGATAGAAAGAGAGAGGGGGAGAGAGAGAGAGGGAGAGAGGGAGAGAAAAAAAAAAGGAAGAGAGAGAGAGAGAGAGGAAGGGAGAGAGAGAGACCCGCAGAGCCCAGCCCCGCACCCCGCCCCCGACCTCAGCAACCCGACCTCAGCAACCCGACCCCGGACCCCGCATCCCCGACCCCCGCTGCAACCCCCGCCCCCGTACGAACGACCACCCTGGTCCCAGCAGGGGAGAGTCTATCCCCGGGGGGGGTTCCCGAGAAGCCATTTTTCTGCAAAATGCAGAAAATGCCTGCGGGTCAGCGGCATCGCTGCGCACACCCCACACCCTTTTTTTTTTTTTTTTTTGGGGGGGGGGGGGGCTTCGGACCCGCCGGGGGTCCCGGGACGGGAGTCGACAACGCTGATGCTAACAGCCACAACCTTAAACAATGCAGGTTTGTCTTCTCCTCATATGGGGGACAGCCGAATATTTAACTATGCTATCATCGTCTCTCAGTACTGTTTTTTTTTTTTTTTTTTTGATGCAGCCTCATCTTCTCCTCATATGGGGGATAGCCACATTTTTTACTACATCTCTCAGTACTGTACCTCGCACTACCAACCTGGACAAACAGGGATCCATCCATTCAGCAAGGAAACCAGGGAGATCTAGGAGAAGCAGAATCTAAGGAGTCGGGTCTAGGGTGTAAGGCTTTATGCACACAATTTCTCAATCCAGGAGTCAGCCTAAATCTAGCAACTATGTGTAAGCTAACCTAAGCTATCCTAAGGTTATGGGTCTAATCCTTCCTACCTATCACTGCTCTGTACGGGAAGGGACAATCCGACTTTCTCGGTCGGTGAACAGTATGCCGCACAGGGGGTCGTGAGAGTGGATTGGTAAAGAATGTCAATATGACCCTGAGGCAAAAGTTGTTCAGTTTATTTTTCTGCATAACGTATTTCTTTTTCAGTTTTTTTTTTGTTTTTTTTTGGCTGGGACCTTCTTTTGGCCCTTGCACGGCCAGGCCACATGGGCAAACAAGGTGACTCCCCGGGCAGCCCGGCTGGTTAGCCTAGATACAATATCACAAAAAAGCAGCAGAACATTTCTTACTTGGAAAACCCAAAAAGCAGAATGTTGCCGTCTCGGCAAAATCAGAAAGACTTCAAACAGCGCAAACGTATCGGTTATTAAAGAACCGCCAGCGTACCGAGAGCATGCTGATGACGGAAGCCAGCGTTCGTCCATTTGCCGCATCTCCTCGGCGTCCTCGGAACAGCTGCCAGGTCCGCTCCGATGGATCTATCTTTTCCCCATCATGCTTTCGCTTTCCCTCCTCCCCCCCTTCTCGCCTTGGATTCGGATTATAATTCGGCACAGGCAAGGGTCCTGCCACCAGCATCCTTCTGAGGCTCTCGTGTATGCGTGCGCAATCTTGACAACAAAACCAATCGTCATCTGGGAGGCCCTGAACACACATGACGCAAGTAGTGCTGAGTTATTACCGCGCAGTCGGAAAAAGAGTCGTATAGATCTCGGCCTTTTGGCTAAAAGACCGAGCGTGGTATCTGGGGTCTGATCAGTTTATCAGACTTTATTTCATCCTAAAAGAAAAAAAAGAGTCGCAGTCCTGCAACATAACTGCCCACCACAGCGTGAGGGCGTCTCACACCAAATAGATTATTGTCGTTCGGGGGCGGGTTAAAACTTTTACACAAACACACGCAATTCCAAATGGATAGTCTTTATACTACCGCCTTCACCCAAATAGAACGCAACTGTAACATCATTTTTCCCGAATCTAGACTGAAAGTCGGGTCAATACGGACATAATGACGGTTCATTCTTTTCGGGGTTAAGAAGGTAATGGCCTGTTCCTAACAACAGAATCACAGTCCTACAACATCACTGCCCATGATGGCCAATGAACTCGTCACGCCAAATACTATTGTCATTCGGGAGCGAGTTTTCAAGAACACAGGCACTCCAATTGGATGCTAACTCGCAAACATTTTGCATGCATCTGGACAGACTGGGTGTCCGATTGTCATTCGGGAACGAGTTTTCAAAAACACAGGCACTCCAAACGGATGTTAACTCGCCAAGATTTTGCGTGCATCTGGACAGACTTCGTGTCCAGTTCCATTCAAAATCTTAGTGAGTGATGCAATAAGCATTGCTAATGCTCTGCCCACAATGGCCAGTGAGCAGCTCATCATACCCAACATTCTTGTCATTCGGGAAAGAGTTTTCAAAAACACAGCCACTAGAAATGGATGCTAACTCACCAAGATTTTGCATGCATCTGGACAGACTGTGTCCAGTTCCATGCAAAATCCTGGTGCATGGTGCGACTGGGAAGCTAATGCTCTGTTACAAGAAAAACCGTAAAAAAAAAAAAAAAAAAGAACCACAGGAAAAACAGGAAATATCACCACAAAGGTTAGGCTGTTCCATTTCTCTGGGCTGATCTCTCTCCTTCCCTGAATGTGCAAAAAACTTGAAAAAAGTGAAAAAGAGAAAACACAGACACATAGTGACCTACAAGACGAAGAAATATTGTACAGATAGAGGAAAAGGGTAAATGGAAATTGAAGCACTAGCCATTGGTTGCATTTTCACCTAATAAAAAATCGTGATTATAGCACTTTGCGGCTGACTGGTGCCTGAGGTAACAAACGAGCAATCAGCATTTAAAGGGGACAGAATCTACAGATCATGGCCACTACCTTCTTCCCCTGAACATAACGCCCCCATCAAAACGAATGCATGGAAACCTTATTCCAGTCCAAAGACAGTCAAAATGATGGGGCACATTGTGTTAAGGGGGCAATTGCCGCATCGCTCACAAATGTATAAGTTTCTATAAAGTATAAACTTACTATGAAGTACTATAAACCATACTTACAACCGCAAGAGCCGCATTTCGTGCGGGGTTCCGTGCGGAGTTCCGTGCAGGGGGTGCCTGTGCGGAAACGTGCAGGCTTTTTTTTTTTTTGGGGGGGGGGGGGGGGGGGGGGGGGGAGGGGGGGGCGTATGACAGGAAGAGGAGCAGACATGGATGGTGAGGAAGGGGAGGGCACGAGGAAGGTGCAATCAGACTTGTCTCATTCACACTCTCATGCATGCAAACAGCATCGCAGCAAACTGGCGACGTGCGCCCACACAGACCTCAGAGATATGGTATCCAGATAAGAGTTCACTTTCACTGGCTATGGCGACTCTGCGCCCAACAACTCACTGTTCACACACACCCGATCACCCTGGATATCCCACACGCATCACTCTGAACACTCACACCACACACACACACTTCACTCTAACCTACAGCTCTGGCAGCTATGGCTGCCTCTACCCTATCGTTATGCTACGCTCCTGGCCCACTTCGACTTCGGGCTGCTGCAGACCTCCTTGCACAAGCCGCTGAGGCAGCGCTTCCGCATGGCTTCCGCAGGAATGAATGAATGGCTGTGCGCGGCCTCTTGATTTATGCTTCTGTGGCTTGTCGGCCTGCCCTGTTTCCCTGGCCCACGGTGCACACAGTCCCAGGCGGTACTTGCTTGACTGGACCGGACTTACTGGACTGGGACTGCTGACTCTGCGCGGTGGACTTCCACCACTTGCCCACTTGCCTTGACCTACAGTGGGCTGACTCCGAAAGGCCACTTCTAGAAGCATCTACTTGGCCTTTCGGTCCTGTAGCAGCTACGACCTTGGCCCTTTCAGGTAAGTAGCAGCTATGACTTTGACCCTTCGGAAAGTCTACAGCTAAGACCTCTGGACTCTCTAGACTCCTACCCGACAGGTCTACAGCTCGGATCCCTTATACCCTGTGACCTACGATGACCTACCTACCACTGGCAGTCCTACAGGTTGCAGGTTCAACTCTACGGGTTGACACAGGTACTGTACACAGGTAAGGTGGGGACTAGGGATCGAGCCCTGGGATCTACATCAGCTACTGCAAACTGGTGAATACCGTTTCACTCCTTACCTGTGTACAGTACCTGTGTCAACCCGTAGAGTTGAACCTGCGACACCACTTAAGGTCAGCAATAATACCCTCGAGAGAAGTGACCGAGTGTGAGAGAGAGGTCTACTGATTCTACTCTTAGATACGAACGTAAGAGTTTATACAGGTCACATGTGTTTGAAATGTGCGTGAGACCGCCGACCTACTGATTCTACCCTTATATACGAACTTAAGAGTTTATACAGAGGTCACATGTGTGTGAAATGTGCATGAGAGCGCCGGCCTACTGATTCTACCCTTAGATACGAACGTAAGAGTTAATACAGGTCGCATGCGTACGAAATGTGTGAGCGCGCCGGCCTACTGATTCTACCCTTAGATACGAACTTAGTTTACAGAGGTCATATGCATGGAAAATGTGTGAGAGCGCCGGCCGCGTATGTTCGGGCATGTTTTCTATGTTTGCACAGTGCACGCCCATCGAACACACTGCATCATACAATGCAACAGTCCTCGGACACAGCGCACCCCCCCTGAGTTAGCAATACCCTTGAGAGAAGTGGTTATGTGTGAGAGAAAGGGATGCTGCCTCTACCCTTAAGATACCCATCTAGTTTATATAGCTCACACACCCTGCAGCTGAGGATGTGCTTCAGCATAGCAGGCACCCACTTTTACCCCTCCAGTTTTGAGGAGGAGTTCCTGTTCCTGTATAGCGGCCAGGTGACATTAAGTTCCACCTGAAGGTAAAGCTGAAGGTGGACCCAACCGTCCGCGTAGCTCTGGTGAGTGTGTTTCCCCATATACCCCTGTTTTAGCCCATTTGGCACTGAACGCCCTCCACTTAGTTATATGCTTAAATTGGTCGGGTACTCCCGGCCGACCTGATATCAAAAGGCAAGGCCTGACCTACCTCCACAGCTTGAGCCCGACACCCCCAACCTCAAGCCCACCTTTAGCCGCTGGGACCAAACGGAAGGCGGCAAGCAGTGAAGACCACTCGTATCTGTGGATGCTGGGGAGCACAAAGACTGATACGATTGCACCTACGGACTAGTCTGTGACCCTCTTCCCTCAAACAGAATACACCCTTCTCGCAACTGTATGTTACCAGAAAGATAGCTTGTATACATTCCAGATCAGGGTGGAATTGTGCGCGCAGGGAGGTGGTAGTTGTGACCCAGCTCATGCGGCTGAGCCGTACACAATTTCCACAAGTAAACAGAACAAGATGGAATGAGGGACGGAGCCGCAGGACATATTTACACCACTAGGGGCTTCTCACCCAAATGCCATGCTGTAAAGGCATGTGAAAAAGAGAAAAGGGGGGGGGGGGAAGTGATAAACTTTATACGTTTAGGTTAGAATTTTGCAAAATAGAATACCAATGTTAGGAAGAAAAGAGAAAAGAAAAAAGAAGCTAAGGTTACGAGTCTTATGACTGGGTACTTACCAATAAATCTGCTAGCCCTTGCTCTTGGAGGCAGCCAACATGAAACTCCCTTTCACACTGCCAAAATAAGAGAGAGAGAAGAAAACCAGCATTCATAGGAGCAGCAGCAGACATATAAGCATATAGTACATGATGGTTCAGCCAAAGTCACCTCAGCTGATTGAAGAAACCAAAAGGGACAAAAGGACGAAAAGCAACTGGCATAGAATTTTCAACATGAACTGTTGAAAATTTGAACTACAGACCCCAGATTTCGAATCGAGATGGAACAGGATGACAAACCAAATAATTTGGAATTTCCTGGGGCTGCTGAGTTTGAAAAATGATCTCAAGGCCCTCGCCCTTTTCTTTGGAAAAAAAAAACAAACATTGCATCCTACGATCAGCTTCGGTTCATGGCTTAAAAAAAAAGAAGAAAAACACTCGCCGTCAAAGAGCAGAGGGCAAGCATGATAAAGCCTTCTGCTAACGAGAACCATTAAGCCACCAGTCCGTCCGAGCGCTCTTCTTACTGATCCAGATTGCTTCGACACCCCCCCCCCCGAAAAGAACCGATGGGGCCGCAAAATACATATCTGCAGCACGCTGAGCCCTATAAACTCAGCAGGTTAGCTGCCACATTACCACAAAATAGCTGTGAAACCAGGGAAAGGGACTACTGGTGGTTTAAGGGTGAAACTTTCATGGAACACAGGTTGCTGAATACTATGCTCCATGGGATGAGTAATCATCAGCTTCTTGCTTTTCAATTTATCTTTGCTAGATACTACCCTACACAGTTCTTGGTGCTCTGAAAATAGTCTTCTCGCACTTGCTAGATGCCC